TGGGTCTAGATCTTGACTTGGATCTTCCTTTCTTTGTCCTCATTTGATTTTGAGGACGACCCCTCACAACCAGTGCTTCTCCTTTTCCTCCCTTTTGTTTTTCTCCCTTTCTTTGTTCATAGCTGTACAAAGCCGAACAAACTTCTCTGAGAGAAATTTCGTCATTCCCATGGAGTAGAGTAGTTTCAAGGTGCTCGTACTCATCAGGAAGTGACGCCAACAACATCAAGGCCAAGTCACCATCATCATAAGTTGTATCCATATTTTGCAAATCTGTGACCAACTTATTGAAACTGGTGATATGTTCATTCATCGTGGTACCAGGAACATAGGTGAAGTGAAACAGTCTCTTCTTCATGTACAATTTATTTTGACTATTTTTCTTCAAAAATTTATCCTCCAGTGCTTTCCATAATTTACCTGCAGAAGTTTCCTTTGTGTATGGATATTTCTGCTCTCTAGCAAGGTAGGATCGAATGGTACCGCAAGCAACACAGTTGATAATTCTCCAATCTTCTTCTCCAATAACATCTGGTCTTTTTTCTTCAATGGCAAGATCTAGCCCTTGTTGAAAAAGGACATCTAGAACCTCGCCTTGCCACATCCCAAAATGTCCTGATCCGTCAAAAATTTCTACCGCAAATTTCGCATTTGACACAATTCTTGTCATAAGCGAAGATGCCAACGATGACGTATTATTGACACTTGATGTAGATTCTTCTTGTTTATTGTCTCCCATTTTGACACGAATATTATTTAATAGCTGACGACACAAATCAAGATTATTTCCTTTCTGGTGTGGAAGATCAGACTAAGCTGCAACCACATAGCATACTAAGACAAAACCTTGACACAATTACCAAGATAAATCTTTTCTGATGTGGAAGATCAGACTATGCTGCAACCACAGAGCATACTTAGACAGTACCTTGGCTATGATACCAATTGTTGTGGTAGCCAAATGTATATAGTGTGAATGAGTCACAACTAATATACCAAAAATTATGGCAGCCATCAAATAATAAATAAGACAATAAAGCAACAATAAAAGGAACACCAGAATTTATGAGGTTCAACCAATTTTGCCTACTTCCTCGGACACAACCAATATTTTATTCCACTCAAAAAATACAAATGAAATAATACTAAAGAGAGAAGATACAAATGTCTTAAGAAAATAAAAAGGCAAATGAGAGGTGTGTTTAAATCCTAAACATTAGGCCTTCTTTTATAGGGAGAAATTCTTCCCAAATTAAGTCTCCCACCGATGTGGGAGTTTGCCATTTTCAACAGAGGACACTTTTTCCCTACCAAAAATTTTTGACCTATTGCTTATTCCTCAAGTGAAATAATATTTTTTGCTAAAAAAGGTAATAGAATTCAACTCAAATTTAATAACTGTGTCCGAATAAAATTACATTCATATATCAAGACAGATCAGTTAGAGATATTTTCTTTTCGACAGAGTTAAGCGTATGTTAATGGTAAATCCAGAAAACAACAAAAGTAACATCATTTGGGATATGGAATACACTTTTACCACAAATGGAGTATTCTAAGACATAAATTGCATGGCTGTAGTATTCTTGATTTAGAAAAAAAAAGAAAACAGAATAGTTGTTATTTTTCTAAGGTATTTACAAAAAAATAGTTAGTGTCAATACTTTTCTCAGTCGGTATTCATAGATTATACGTGATTATATACATATTATATATATTATGTATTTCCTGATTATTTGTAATTGAAGTGATTAAGTAAGTGACTATTTAAATTAATTCTTTTTTTAATTAATTATTAAGTGGAAAATAAGTGGGCTAGCAAATTTCCCTGCACGTGAGGTCATAAGGACCATTTGAAAACTCGTTTTATGGACAGGATTAAAAGGATATCGCTTTCTGTATAGGCCCATTTTTTAGGAACTAAATGGCTAGATCAACGGTCATAATCGGCCCAACGGCTAATTATAAAATAACCAAATCCAACGGTCTTTATCGAATCGGCGGTTGCCGCCCAACAGTATCCCAAGTATGTCATTTACTTTAATTCTGTAAATAAAATCTAAAAAATGGTGAAACCGGAATTACTCCTATTTTACAAGTAGCCGACCACATATCTTGTCGGCAATTTAGGATGAAATTATTTTCTTCAATTTCATTTAGTTTATAGTTAGACTTCTTATGTTTCATTTTATACGTCATATTTGAATATAAAGTTTAATTAATTTTTTTTTTTTTTGGGCACATTACATAAACCAAAAGCATTTTTAAAATTATAGCATTAAGCATAAATATATGATCATAGAATAAAGGATAAACGGGACATTTAAGCTAAGAAGTTCTACGATAAAACACATCGATCAATTTTAACAAACTCAAAAGAAAAGATATAAAGTGAAACAAAAGAAGTACAATCTATTCGAGCAGCTCTATGCTCATACTTGAACATCAATGTAACATCCGTATAATATATATTGTGTATTTAACAAACTAATATATATATATACACAATTCATCATACTTTTAGTTTATGTTTATACTGATTGTCAACCTTTATATGATCAGGGCATTGTTGGTGGCCTAAAGCAAAATCTCGACGAGAAGCCCTAATTTGTTAACAAAATAAATTTGTATATTTTTGTTTGAAATCTATTTTTTTAACTTTTTTAAATGATAATATAGCTAATCCGATCCATTCAGATTCTCCTAATACATTATTGATCCTAATGCAAAATTGTTATAGGAATATTGTTTTATGAGGAATATAGGTATTTAACAAAAATTAATTCTTGTTATCTTATTGAGTATACGGATCAGAGTATTATCTTCTACTTGTAATATTTTTTTTAACGTCGGCTCCCATCCTCCAAGAACTCCCCACCTTACTCTTGGGGTAACTCGAACTCACAACCTCTTGGTTGGAAGTGGAGGGTGTTCACCACTAAAGCAACCCACTCTTGTCAAAAATAAAAGATATCTTTATACCTTTTAAATAAAAAATTAAATTTTACCCACTAAATAAAAAAACCAAAGATATCTATACCCTTTAAATTATTAAAATCTCAACTATCAACGTTAGTCACAAATTAAAATGTTCTGTTCCTTTTTGTATTAAGTTATTTACTTTTTAACATTAAGATACTCAATTTTTATATAAAAAATTAAAATTACTACCAAGGGAAAGTGGGGCCCCCAAAATTTGGGGGCCTAAGCCATTGCTTGTGCTGCCTTACCTTTGAGCTGCCTATGTATATGATGAACCGAGAATTTGAAGGTCGTGGGTGCACTTTTATTATATATTTGGTACTAGAACCGAGAATTTGAAGGTCGTGGGTGCACTTTTGGATTCAACCAAAATCTACTTTGTATACGAGGTGCTACTATTAATATATCATTATTTTCTAAAGACATACATATATTACATTAAACTTTTGCTAAACTTTACGTGTGCTAGTGACCTCTCTCAGTAGATCAGAGGTCTGCCTCTATTTGGTATGTACTACAATGACCATTATAATAGTATTTACGTAATAATGAAAGGAAAAAGAAAAAGAAAAAGAATAAAGTAGCCGTTGGAAAGATTTCTCCATTATTTAAGGTCGCCTTTGGTGATAGGAAACTGATTCAGCAACGTTACCTTTCTCCATATTCAATCAAATCCCATTTTGGGTTTTCTCTCTTAGATATATGATATAGTTCTTATATTCTTCTTTTCTTAGCTATATATATAGTTTATGTAAATTCTTGTAATCCATCTTATTGTTGGCTATTGATTCTTGTTTATTTGAGATCATTGCCACCTAGTTTTTTATTTTCTTTAATCTAAAGCTTCTTCTCTTCTTCTTTATTTTGGACATCAATGGAAGTAGCTGCACCAAGCAAAAACTATGCTAGAAACTTGAAAAAAAGCATTAATCGCACATTTTCAACAACCCCTTGTGAAAATCTTGCACCATTTAATTATCAAAATGGTATTTTACAAACTCCTCCACCTCCTCCTTTTATTTACCACTCTTTTCCTCCATTTTTAGCTCAAAAACAACCACCTCTTCTTCCTCTTCCAATCTCAAATGGTGTTCAACACTACAATAATATCAATACTTTCCCCCTAAATAGAGGGTTTTCTTGTCCTCCCATCAATAGAAAAGTCAATAAAAATGGTAAGTCAAAGAAATTCAAGTCATTCACATCAAGTCCTAAGAAAGAAGAGAACTCAAAATCATCAAAAATTGTTATGATTTCATCTACTAACCCTTTGGGTCCAAACCCAAAGCATCTTCCCAAAGATGTTCCCATGGTTTTCTCTATGTCATCTACTGGTAAAAAAGAGCAGTTCGACGCACTAAGTTTCTGTAATTTGGAAAATCCAAAAAAGGATTGTACCAGGGTGGACCTATTGGATAAAGTTAACAAGTTTTCAAGTTCTACGGTGTTTACTATTTCTCCTCCGCCAAGTAGCTTACCTTTGCCCACTTTTTCATTGAGGCCAAAGCTTAGCTGCAACGCAGAAGCGGCGGCCGGAGTTGATGCCGGAGCTACTGATAATCTCCGGCGACTACTTAGACTTAGATGAACTGTTATTTTGTAAAATTATGTTGTAGCAAAAATAGGAAAAATGAAGAAGTAAATAAACCACACCTTCTACATGGTTATTTTTTTTAATATTTGTAGAGGGTGATGAATTAATTATAAGGTCATACTATGCTAAGTCATTTCTTAGGTTTTTTAATTGAATTGTCTTTTGGTTTGCTCAAGTAAGTCAATGCTTCTTGGTCTCTTTGCCTGTAATTTTATGTTTAAGGTATGGGGTGTGTAATACACGCTTATAGAGCAAGTGGCTTTTTTCCATTTGATTATTTTCAGTAATATATATCTCCATTTTGTAATAGTCTTGTGGTTTTTGTTTCTTTTTCAAATAAGTATCATCGGTATTGGCAATGATTTTACACGATGAAACTTAAGATTAACATCGTCTAAAATGGATTAGTTGGTTTTTTCTTTTGAGACAAGCCAAGACGGTGGTAGGTGCGAACATTGCAAAAATTAGAGCTGAAAAAATCAAGGACAACGCAAATTTGGGCTATTCTATAAATCATTAGCTCGTTGTCAAAAATTTTATAAAAAAAGGTCGGAACAGATGCTTAGCGCAGGCCCATGGTCCGGAAATGATCAAAATAAGCCCAATTTTACCAATATACTAATTAATCGCAGACTTACTAAAACTAGTCAAATGTATACAAAAATTAAAAACTTTATATAAATAAAGATTCTTTCCCTCCGAGACTCACTTGCAAAGATCTTCTTCCATATTCTTAAGCATGACCAACAGCATTAGATGTAAGACGAAAAAGAAATTTTATTGATAAGGTAGCAAATATGGTGATATTTACAAAGAAAAAGAATATACAATATTCCAAAAACATAAGCAAAAAGGGACCTTTTTTAATGGGCATGATTGAAATTCATCGAAAACATATAGATGAGTTAATATATAAAACTTGAAAAAGATTGGAAGTGATTTGGATTAATTTTGAGTCACAAATTCGTAGTTGAAATTGAGTTTAAAATTTCTCTACGACATATGAATCAAACATGTTGATTACAGTTATAAATATATTTATTTTTTATACGTATTATTTTTGAAGGGAATTTTTACATTCCTATACACTATATAAAACTATATTACCTTACCTACTCAAGTTTTACTATAACTATATATTATATACCCAATTACAATTTATGTACAATTTAAGGGAATTAACGATAATAATCAGTGTCCTAAAATCACTCTCATGTATCTTCCACCCCCCTCCCCCACGTATCTTGCACTCACTCACGATTTTCTCTTCACAAAATTCAGAATCTCTCCATTAACGCCTATTTTCTCTCTTCTTCCACAAGCATTCTAAATTTCTCTTCTTCAAAAATCACCTCCATTAATGTCTGTGCTTAGCTTGATTTTCAATGAAAAAGAAAATAGCTTCAAAGATTATCCCTAAAAAAGGTAAAGCAGCCGATATTCCTACATTTGATTTGGGTATTTTCTCAGAGAATTCACCCAAAAAAATATTATTTGTTTGAATTGAGTGCTGTTGCAAAAAATTAAAAATTCTCTCAATGTCTCTCTCTATCTTTCAATCCCTAATTTTAGTAATATAAAGCAAAGGAAAAGAGAGAAGCAATTCCACCATTGACAACCATTAAAAAGCTTTGAAGCTTTGAATTCGAATTTGGGTTTTCAAAAACCAATATTTGTTTAGATTGGGTATTGTTGCAAATAATTGAGAATATGATTTGAAATTTATATCTCAACGTTGAGGGTGTTTGGTTGAAGATTAGACTTGATTTTTATTGAATTTCAGATTGAAACTCGAAGAAGAAGAAGAAGAAGAAGAAGAAGAAGAAGAAGAAGAAGAAGAAGAAGAAGAAGAAGAAGAAGAAGAAGAAGAAAAAGAAAAAGAAAAAGAGTAGAAGGAGAAGGAGACATGATATACATTATATTTAGAAAATTATATTAAAATTGTAGAAAAATNTGTATAATATATAATTAATTGTATGAAATTTATTTTTACTATGTATAAATCAGATATAAAATATCAAAAGATATATTGTATAAAAATTGTATTTAAGTGGTATGATATTGTAGTTGTATATAAATGGGTAAAATAATGTATAAAAACTGTAGATAAATTGTATAATATATAATTAATTGTATAAAATTTATTTTTACTATGTATATATATATATATGTATGAATATACGAGTGCTTTCCGCATTTGCCACAGAGAGGTGACCTTAACAATATAAAATGAAGCAACAACAACAACAACCCAGTATAATCCCACACGTGGGGTCTGGGGAGGGTAATATGTACGCAGACCTTACCCCTACCCCGAAAGGTAGAGAGGCTGTTTCCAGGAGACCCTCGACTCAAAAAAAACAACAACAGAAGCCGATATATTAGTACCACAAAAATGCATAATAAAATAACAGCGATACAATAGATATGAAATACAGAATACGAAATACGAAAAAGATGGCTGGTATAGTAAAACTAGCAGGTAAAGCCCTGCATCAATAGACGTCCAATGACTTTCTTAGTCTAACTCCTAACTGGCTAGTCTCACTCTATTGTACTGTAGAAATATTCACAACTCTCCCCTAACCTACAACCTTAATACTCGACCTCCATAATTCCCTGTCAAGGGCCATCTCCTCAGAAAAAACAAATTCCTGGCCCATGGCATGAACTCTCTAATCATCAACTCTTTCAATAACTTGAGAATTTCAAGAATTCGAGACATACATTACCTTACATGAACTGGTATGTTTCTTTTCACCTTCTGTTGTTTTCCTCACTCTTTTTAGGGGCCAGTCTTTTATTACCGGGGGTTTGGGGGGGGAGGGTGCATCTTGATTTTCAGAACGAAAAGACTCAGGAAAATGATTAATGTACTGATTTCACTATTTTGGAGGATAACACCCAGTTGCCTTCCTACTAAAGAATGATATTAAAACAGAAACTTCACCCCCAACCCAGGTAAAGTGCTTGAGTTCTTATAATTTTTGTGTAATTCAACATCATTTCAATTTGCTTTGATAGGATACTCATGAACGTATTTTAGGAAGTTCATATGAAATTATTGCAGCATTCGGCTTTAATCCCTTGATTGGCGAGAAGATGAGAGAAAAAAGGAAAATAGTGTAATTAAATCTCTTGATTGAAGGCGCAAATAATGGATTTGGAGCCTTTTAAGATAGATTGTATAAATTTGTAATTAAAATATGTTTAGGTCGGGTAAATACCAAAACATGAACATTTTTCATAATAAAGTTTTAAATAGTGTATACGATTGAAAAAAAATCCTCTGTTTGAAGTTTTATACTTTCAAAAACTGAACCAAACCAACTTTAGACGACGTTAAAGTTTTATACTTTAGCGGCGAGAGTGGAAAGTTGATATATGATTTAATTAGAGTATCCGTTAATTATGAATATAATAATTAAAATTACATTTTACCGGTCATTGCGAAGTTGCCGGTCAATTGCTGGAGATTGAGATAAGGCAATCAAAATGATAATTGTTCAATGTCGAATGTGTTTGATTTTTAATGCATAAATATTGGAGGACTGAAATGATTTTCACCCATTTTTCTTGTTCTTTGGTATACCATACTCTATTGATAATTTGTATGTTAGAAAAAACACTCCAACGTTTCTTCAANTGAATTCAAAATAAAAGGACATCATCAGAACTTACACAAATGATCAATTTAGTCATGTTAGTTAAATAATTACGTATTATAGTTTAAAAGTATTTAATTTGATGTTATCTTACCGAATACTTCTTTGTAGATGATTTTTTTTGTGTATGTTTCCTTCTAATGCTTTTGTTGCTATGTCATAACCAGAACTCTTGTTGTCGATATTGATATTCATTCCTCTTGAAAGTGCAACATATAGTTGTTCGTGCAAGAAAACATATTGCGATAAATATAGTCTAGTATTTAGGAAGTTTATCCTTGTGCTTTATTTATTATAATTGCAAAATATAAATATGCCGAAAATTATCCTTGTCAGTTAAATCTTTTTTATTTGAGGTCATAAGTATAATTTTGGAAAGCTAATTTTTATAGTCTCTGATTTCGTCGATTTTGTAACTGTTGATAGTACATGACAAAAATTACCTTCCAAGCCATTAGTTTTTTACCAAATGGTTCACTGGTATTCAATATATCTCCTGGGGGAATTGTTTCAATCATTTAACATTAGCCATAAGCGCTTCATCACATATTATCTATTTTGCTTTCTTTATAAATTTAGCATTGTTGCTCTGCTATTAGTTCATCTCAGATTCTTATTATTAGTTCATCTCATGTTTTAAAGATTTAATTTGATTATAATTTTATCCACCGTAAATTTTCTTTTCAAAGAGTAAAAAGATAGATATAGCATTTCACATTTAGATCTTTATGTTTGCAGAATCATTAGTGGTATTGACTCTTACCAACCATTTTTCTTTCTATTTCTCACACATTTATATTTTTAAATATTTTCTTAGTTTTTTTTTAATAATTGGGTATATTTTTCAATAATTGATTAAAATATATTATTTGAGCAGGAAAGCAGTTCAAATATAATATAAAAATATATTATGGGAATATTTTTTCTCAATTTCAATGGCTTGTACAGTCCATTTAATATTATTTTTATTTTCTCTTAGTATTATATATTATGGAGTGGTAATGTAGTGTCAATATGAAGAATTCTTATGAAATTAATTTTATTAAACCTTCTATATGTTTTTAATAATAAGTTAATAGATAAATTTAATTTTAAAATATTAAATATTAAAAAATTTAATAGAAGGTCATGTAGTCCAAAAAATATGTTATTTTAGTTATGTTCTTTCCCTATGAGTTTTTATATTTCATATTTTAAGACTATCTTGGTCTATCAATATTATATTCATGTTTTATATTAATATAGACTCTCTTTTTTCTAAATGAATTTGAACAATATATACATTCTCAAATTAAATAGTAATAGCACATCATAATACGTTTTCAAATTAAATTAATAATAGAATTTTTTAAGAAGTATATCCTAAAAGTAATAGGATTACATGACTTAAAATATGTCTCTATCCCAAAAGTAATTATACTAATAGAAAATCTAACGATTCCCAAAGGTATTAGGTTTACATGCTAACATGTAGTATTATATGTCTATGCTCTAAATTAATTATACTAATAGGAAATCTGAATGTAATCACGTAAGATTCCTAGCTTGTAGTATTATGTTCTAAAACTAATAGGATTACAAATGTCTAGAATTCCGGTTATGTCCTTTTATTGTGAGTTATT